AAATGAAAAGGGAAAGAATTATGTGGCATGTAGAAGAAAAAAATATTGATATTCAAATCACATAAATTTCTCCCCAACAAAATAAACTATCAAATTAATATGACGAAAAAAGATGTTTTCGAGAGAGTATCTTAAAATGTTATTTGTTATTCAATAATTCATAAAAAATTGAGCAGCAGCATAAAAAATTATAACTATGCGTCTCTGCTTATTCCTTTATTTTTATGAGGGTTCATACAATAACAAAGACATTGAGTGGTGAAAACATATTTTTTCAATATTATCGGAAAATTTCTTCTCGTTGTGGATTTGCAAAGAATCTGAACCTGCTTTGCAAAAAAAAATTATTCTAAATCAATGCATGCACATAAATATTCTCGGCTCTTTATTCTGTTGTGTAATAAATCACAAGATTTTAAAATAGAAAATATTTAATTGAACGAGAATGAAATAATTGCATTATTATTCGGTTCGTTAAATATTAAAATTTTTCTGTTGCTGGACATTACCACACAACCACAACATACTGTAAGGGAAATAAATTCATTAAATTTTATTGGATGATATGTGAAATGATGAATTTTACATATTTTAACGCACAATTTTTGCAAAAATCAGAGAACAATTTTTATTTCTGAAGTGTTAAATGGTCAAGGCTACGAGGCATAAATTAATTTTTGAAATCCTGACTTTTTCCAATAATTTAATCACAATTTTTAACATGATAGGGACCTTTTTACACTCACACTTATTTCTATTTAATCTAATTACAAGTTAGAAGCAGACATGGAGAGAACTTATCATCAGCTCTTCATAAGAAGCTAACCTTTGTTTCACTTGATAAAAAAGTCAAATAAATTATTATTAAAAACCACTGAAAATTCTTTTTATTTTCTTATCAATTTCAAACAATGAATTTTTAATTAGATGAAAAAATATGTAAAAAAATCTTGATTTATGGAGGGAATCAAAAATATGAAAAACTGTACGAGAATATTCGGAAAAAGACAAGTAAATTCTTAAGGGTGAAACCCTCATTATTAAATATACAAGAACTCTTTTTGTAATACGTTAAAGCTACTCTATATGCATCAAGTTGACCATAAAAATGATTATTTTTAAGGATCATGTGAGATTCTCTCCTTTTAAAATTCAAATGAGGATCTATATGTCCTTTTATATATTATATTCCTTTCTTTGGGCCGTTAACTTTTATTATCAAGGATTTTTGGTGGCTCAAATAAGAATAAATATGTACTTTATAGAAATAAAGAAAAAAGACATGAGGAGGAGGAAATAAAAAAAAGTATGCAAAAATATTACTTTTGACATAAAAATGAAGCTCTTCATTTTTGTGAAACATCATAATTCTTCTGTCAAAATCAATAAACAAGCAGGAGACTTATCTTTCATTCATTTTTTATGAGATCATATTTACATAATTAGTAGCCAGAAAGTAATAAGAGAGGGTGTTTTGGTTTTGTGGTTTCATCACTTAAAATTTGATACTGTTTTGGGGTAAAACAAGTGTATATTGTTTTAAATAATTCACGCATAATCAAGGGATAAAAGGATTTGAGGTTTTGGTTTCCCAATTGCTTAAAAGTGATAAAATAGCAACACTAGGTTTTATAAATTGTGATTTAAATTTCTATATTATAAATAGAGAATTTATCATGCACATAAAAATACACATTCGAGTGTTATTTTTATTTTTGTATAACTCTTTTACGGTTTTCTCGCAAAACGTAGTTTCCCGCCGAGTTTTCAGAAAATCTTATCATCACCACCATCACGAAATTTTTATGCAATTTTCGACGAATTTCTCACGCAAGAAAAATAAATACATTTATTAAAATAAAAAAGAAAAATATTTAATAAATCAAAAAGCAATAAAAGTATTGGCATATTTGCGCAAATATGAAAAAGTTAACACACTACATACAGCTATGTTGTTAAAGGTGTAGAATAGATAAATAGATTTATAAGTAAAATAAAAATTGCGGTTTGCTGATTGCGTTATATTTTTCAATCCTTTGTTTCGCTTACTCAGAAACTTTTTACTTCAGGTATTCAACAACGATTAAAGATCTTAGGTACATAATGTAACATTAAGGTACCTAAACTATAAATTTTCTATGATTTTTTTGAATTTTTTTTATGAAAAATTCAGTTTTTTTTCCTGAGTAAAAACCAGTCTTTCACAAATCTTTTCGAGACACTGGACTATAGCTCAAAGATCTTGGGGGACAAACCCCCCCCCCCTCCCCCCTAAAATGCGAACGTAATAAGTGAACGACCCCTAGCAGTTTTATGAAAAAATCATAAAAATCTCCCCCCTGAATTTTCCATATAAAATTTTTTTGTCCCCTCCTCTTCAAATTCCTGACTCGAGTCAACTCGAGTCGATTTCAAGCTCTGGTCGTTTGAGAGTTATATCGCAAATTAATTTAAATTTTTCGTTAAAATATCGCAACACATAGATTGCGAAGCACTTCTATAAACGGTTACATCTAACCACGGGATGTATTTAATTGCATCGCATAAAGCACAAAAATATCATTGTGCCTGAAAAATAAACAAATTGAATGTTTATTTTGCTTTCCATATTTTTCTCGAGCACAGTATCAATGATAATCTAATATTAGCACTATGGAAATCAATCCACAATCTTGATTATTAAAGCAAACTGCTACGTATTAAAGTATTCATGCCGATCTTTGACAAAGAGCTGTAAAAGGCTTTAATTTAATTTCATTTTTTCCGGCTTAACACTATGTAGCAAATATCCACTTTAAATATCATTATAAAACTGGAAAATGTACAAGAGTGGAGATGAACTATGACAAGTGATGATTGAGTTGCATGTTTTGTGTCATGATAATGAAGCGCACATACCGTTTCATTCATTTTAACCATCATTAACCTCTTTCTATTATGACACAGAATATTCCATTGTTAGCATTTTAATTAAGTTAAGTGAATGAAGATTTTTTCATCACGGACAATTCTTTTTGTTTAAAGAGCTGCCTATTTTAAGCCTTTAAAAAACAAATTTTTAATATTCATAAAAGTATTTGTCTAGTGAAATTTTTCAACTACTTTTCCTCCTTGCTTCGTACTCATTGAGGCATGAATTTTTATGTGGTACTTTATGACTGCTTTTTGCAGTATTGTGCGGTCGTCTGGATTTGTTCAATTGCTCACAAATAGATCAATTCGATTAAAATTTGCCTTCAATTTTAGAAATTAATAACTAGTAATTTCATAAATGTTATGCTTAAGAAAGAGTATTAGGGATGATTCACAAATGCGGTCCAAAATTTAGTACATATGATGATGAGCCGAACTTTAAAGAAATTAGAGAGCAGATTTCAAAATTCTTGAAATGCATCCTTTTAAAACTGATGAACTGTTAAACGACTAGATTTGTTGAAAACTCTCTGCAAGGTCACATTATAGAACATTTACACATGAAAGCAGGTCTTTAAATATAAATAAAAATTCCGGAAAATATTATACGAAATTAATATACTTTTTCACAAACAGATACCAACATATAAATCAATCTATAAAATCACTTCATATATGGAATATTAATAATCTATAAGTGCATTATCGAGAGCGTGAGGGTGAAAAATACTTGAAGAGATAAATAGGAAGATGAAACGGGAGAAAAGATTTATTGCTTGTATTTTCTTCTTAGCACTGCTGGCTGCTCTTTTTTCCACAGGAAGATGTGTACTCAATAAAATAAAATTCTTACCTTGCTAGCTTCTTTAAATGTTAGATAAAGTTTCAAATGCATACATTCCTTTATCTTTAATCTTTAGAAAGTCTGAAAATACATTTAAAGGAATTTTTCAAGCTAAATGAACATGAGCATGATCATCAAGCTTTTGAAAAATATTTGAAAATTATTTTGCAATTTTAGAAAAACTCGTTCACAAGTTACGTCCATTTCGAAAGGTGTGGAATCTGAAAACTTCACTTTTTAAAAGAAGTAATAAACTCGGAAATTTTTTAAATTTTTATTTTTATTTAACACTTTTTGAATGTATTCCAGACATTTGCTTTATTTTTCATAATTTGAAAAAAAAATTAATATCATTTTCACAATTTAAATCACTTACTGACTGGATCAGATGAGTGCAATAATCCTAAATGATTCTTTTTTCTAATTACATACGCTTTTATTATATGCTTTATGTTCATAACTTTTACTAAGAATAATAAAATTGCTTATAAAGATTATTTGATTCTACATACGTTTCATGTTTTTTTTTTATTATAAATATTTTTGAAATCATTATTATAATAATTATTATTTCTCATCGATAATTTTATTGTTGTATGATTTTTGGACTTTAAAACATTACATAACTATAAGATTTTTTTTTTATTTTACAATGATTTTGAAATCTTTGAATTCCTTATTCATTTTTTTTTTGTTTACTTAATTGATTCAATCAATTATTTTATCATTGCAGCAAGCGACTTCAATTTTAGTTCAATAAAAGAACGATAAAATAAAAGAATCACAAAATTAAATTTAAGAGAATAGATTGCACAAGAAAAATTGTTTCAGATTATATACGAGAGAGAATAAAACATGAACATTTAGACAATTGGACGGGCTATTCTTTTTTATTTTGCTGTTTTTTTTCTTTTTGTTGTAGATTGATATGATTTTTTTTTGTACCCCAACAGCTCAAATTTAAGAAATTTTTTATACTGTTTGGGAAAAGAAACAAAGGTTTTAAAATCTGAACTAGTGAATTAAAATTCTGTTTAAAATTCTAGAATCGAAATAAAAATTTAAATAAAATTTGATTTCAATTCTAATTCTATTTCGATTCTAGCATCAGAATTTAAATTGAACGAATCAATTCTGGAACTGTAATTGAAATTCTTCCTTGAAATTTTACCAATAACTTGATGTTTCATCAGGAACTGAACAAAAAATTAAAGCAATTACTGCATTATCAGGTTAAATATGAGCATATGGTCCAATATAGACATGAAGGAACTAGCGGAACTGCTTAGTTCCGCAGAACTGAGCCCATTCTGGAAAAGTCATGAAACGTTGAGAAATGCAGAAAAAATGTAAGAAGAATTTCAATTACAGTTCCAGAATTGATTCGTTCAATTTAAATTCTGATTTTAGAATCGAAATAGAATTAGAATTGAAATCAAATTTTATTTAAATTCTAGAATTTTTTCAATGCAATTTCACTAATCTGAACAATAATTTGATATTTAATGTTTTTAAATGTTTTTTTGTGATACATTAAAAAATATAAAAAAAAGTAATTGACACTAAGTACGTTTGCATGCAAGGAAACGAAATATAGTTTTGATTGCTGTTTACTCGATTTGAGAAAACTTAAATAGCCGAAATTATAGGCATAGAATTGAATATAAAAGATATGTAGATAAATTTTTTAAGGAATTAATTGGTGTTTTCTTCACCAACATGTGATATATTCTCAGTTGATCGTTCATTGAAGCTATGCGTATTACTTGAATCTGTTTTGTGGACATGTGTGCTTCCATCATTCAATAATCTTTCACTATCTTCTTCTTCCTCATTTTGAGCAGATGATCCATATTTGCAACTATCTTTATACAATGATGCGGAACTTGAGTTTCCAGTTCCAAAAAGCGCTGATGTGGGGTTTGCTGAATTTAAATTAAAAAAGTTCATACCGTTCATCATGTTTGATGAGCCCACGGTACTTGAAAATGTAGAAGCTGATAGAGCAGCATAACAATTAGCATAGAAACTTGAATTCGCAGTTGCAAATGTAGCAGACGGTGATGATGAGGAAGATGACGAAAAAAGTCCAGAATGTCCTAATAATGGATCTATTATTGATGAAGAAGTTGTTGCCGATGTTGAATTGAAGCAGTTTGAAGTAGTGGCTGGTTCAGTTGCAATGGTAGGCGTAGATCAAGAAGTGGTAGCTAATTGTCGCCACAAAGCACCCGTATGTCACATAGATGGTAGATACGGCCATGAAAAACTGCTTCCCGATAGCAACATATCGCGAATAAGCGTCTCTATTGGAGTCTTTCCAACCAGCCGAACAAAGAACAATTGCTCAATTACCTGTTAAAATACAATAAATAAGTATTTATTTCATACTCCATAAAATATTTCATTGTATGACTTACTTGTGATGAAACTGTTCTGAGAGATGGTAAACGTAGCAGTAGCTTTCCAAATCGAGTTGGCTGATTGGGATATTGAGTTCTACAATACTCTTCAAGAGCACATTGAGATTTCTCTTGTAATGATTCAATATGTGATACATCTGAGAGTCCACATGCATCTATTAAGTAAATAAGGGACAGTTTTAAAATAAACGTTTCTATAATAATTTAGATTTTAATTATTATTAATACTGTTTTTAGTCACAGAATTTTGTTACCTTTCACCTTTAGTGGAATATTTCCATTTCAATAATAAGGAACTTCAATGCAGTAATTGGGAAATTTTAAAATTGACTTCAAGTTTATTTAAAACAGAATCTGAATTTCTTATACGTTGAAAAAATTTATTTTTAATTACTCATTAATACACAAGACTATGATAAATTCTACAATCTCAATTTATGCAGCATGGAAGTTCATTATTTATATAGACTGTTTACCAGTAAAGTGTTATTGGAATTAATTTAATTATAATGAAATCATAGAGTTAAAATGAAAAAAAAAAAAGTGTTAATGAAGTGTGCGGTAAGTGCTTTTCAACTTTTTTTGTGGAAAAAACAAAATGTTGAGAAAGGACTGAAAGTGAACAACAAAAAAGTGTTAAATGATATGTGATCAAATGTTAAATAATGCTCAAATAAAGATGATGTTAATAACTGAAAAGAGATAAAATAATATTAATAAAATGAAATTAAAAAATAAATAAAAGAGGCTTCACAATCAGCAAATGATTTTTCTCGTTAATGCTCGTTACCTAAATATTTTTCATTTTGCGCAAATGATTTTTTTCTTGAGAATAAATATTATTATTGTGAGTTTCAGATCAATGATAATTTATTAATCAACTCATCAGATAATAAATAAAAAGTGAGGAATTGTGAATATTTTCAATCACGCTGCCTTTTTGTATACTCAACATATATTCACATATAAACACAACAATTAGTAATTAACAAGTCCTACATACATCTCGTAACTCTGCATTTGTATGATTTTTTATGAAATCAATTTATAGAATTGAAGCTTCAATTAATCAAATATACTGGTAAAAACTTGATGGAATTCATTAAAGAGTGAATAAATGATGAACACACACTTACAATAAAAATGATGGAAATATTTAATATTTTATGCGACGAAAGAGTTGTTTTGAGAGACAAATAAAACTTTAATATAAGAAACAAAATAAAAATTGATATGGGCACTAACACATGTACCAAAAGAATTTAATGAAATTTAATGAACGTTAATTGAAATTGAATGAAATATTATTGCAACCTCAATCGAAGTAATTCTGCTTGACAAGAATGACTTGGATTTCTCTAAAGTTCAACATGTTAAATTACTTATACACATAGTTCTTTTTAATTGATACCCATTTTTGGATGTGTGTGTCATTTAATAAATAGAGCTCGGTTCAAGATTAATGCTATTAATAGATAATTTTATAAAATGAATTTTTTCATCAAATGCTTCTCCAAAATACAAAAACAAAAAAAAAAAACAAGTCAAGACAGAATAAAAAACTTTATTTGTCACCCATATGTTGTAGAAAAAAAATTAAGAATTTTTCTCAATTTCTGTTTCTTTCTACTTTCAATTAAAGCAATAAATATTTTATTTAAGTTATGTGATGCACATCTTTTTCTATATTTTCTTTTAAGATCTGAATTGAATCAAATTTCAAAGTAAACGAAAAAGTAAATTAAATGGAAATTTATTGCGTTGCGAAATTCCATGTCAGTCTGATAGACATAACGACATAACAGATTATTTTTTTGTTTTCACAGTGAATTTCTATTTATATTATATTTTTAAAACTCAATACTTATGCTTATCTATTTCAGATTCTATTTTTCGTATTTAAATCTTTTTGATTATTTCCAAGTGCGCAACTTTCCGCCGGTTTATGAAAAATGTAAATATTTCTTGAACAATTCATCCATGTGCTGCTCGTGGCATGATTTTTGCCACTTAATAGCAATTTTATGGCAGTATGTCAAACAACGGGTGTAATTTCTGACCTCACATATTGAATTGACATTTCCATTTACATATTACTAATGCAATTAAATAATATTATAATAAATATCTTTTCCATTTTAGAAATTGTCGGGTAAAAACGGAAAAAAACATAGTTCTGAACTTTGTGTAGTTACATCAAATCCAGTAAATTAATCAAAGTTTATTTTTCCGCTTGTAATGGAAAATATATTGAATGAATCAACTCTATAATATATAATGAGACAATATGCTGATGTCAGAGCATTCTACTCGAAAAATTATGGCAATAAAAGTTTTATGTTAATTTTTCTTGACAGTATCCAAAAATTTGTAGTGTACAAAAATACCTAATTGACGTTGAGAAAAATCGTTTAAATTAATTTTTCTGTTTCAACTAAGAGAGTTAAAGATGATATGGAACCAGATGTTACTCTTACTGAAGTGACTTATGATGATTTTAGGAAAACATAATAATAATTTCTCAAATATCTTTATGACATCGTCATTGATAGCTCCTTTAGTAAGTAAGTAATTTTAAAGCGATGATTTTATCGACTAAATCCACCTGTTTTGAAAGTCGTAAGTATCGTTGATTCCCTTCTTGTGCATATGAAGTCTATTTAAATTTATACATCTTCATGTTTTCTTTTATGATTTATGAAATAGCTAAGTGGTGGAAACAGATTAAAATATTCATTTGAGAAACACACAAGTATTTTAAATTTCAGATTAAATAAATTTTTTCATTCGCTTTTAAAAATAAATATACACATGAGAGAGATATGGAGAAGTGATGAAGAAATTCCAGAAGCTAAAATCTGTTCATTCAACATTTTTTATTATTAAATCTATTGAACTGTACATGCGTGCACACCTGACATAAGAAATCAGCACATCGCTGTTGGTATCGTTGTTGTTTTATTGAAATCCTAGCATGCATGCATCTACAAATGTATACTTATCCCACTTGGAGCAGAAGACAAAGTTCATTTTATTAAACTGACATTTAACGCTTATTATTTCTAATCCATCTCCACAACTAATTAAATTAATTACATAGAAAATTATCTTTAATTATTGTTGTCATCTTCTACAAAAATGTATTAAGGCTCTTATGAATGTAGAAGAATAAAATTTATATCTTTTGAATGCCTCTAGCGTTCTTCATCTTCACTTACTCTTAGTAAAAATAAAAAAAATAATCATTTTCACTTTAATATGTTGACTTCAGAAAAATAAGATAAATTGCAAATATAAATCAATGTGTGGTCATCGTTTAACTACACAATAGGCGTATCATAAAAAAGTAAAAGAAGTGGAAATTTATTTTCACTTTGAGAGGGATTTTCCTTAAAAAATTGATTTCTTTTTTGTATCTTGACTATAAATCTCTCCTTTCTTTTGTGCCCTTTCATTATATTGATTCAAATGCATTGATTCTTGAACTGCTTTTGTCATGCTCATACATACAGACATTCATATAGTGAGAAAAGAAAAGAAAATATGTTAATATACCACAAAACTATATTTATTTCCTTTCGCAACACGTATGTGTTTAATTTTCGCAAGTAACGCTTCAAAATCATGTCCCTTATCAACTTGATATTTAATTCGTACTGCAACATTTGCATGACTTTTACCACACTCAAACTAACCGCATATAATTTGCACAACATTTTGTTTTTTCGGAAAGAGTAGCAATGCATTAACATCTGAGGATTTTTTTTATATTGTCGTCATCACCCTCAATTACTAGAATAAAAAAAAAACGAGTGGATATAACCAAAGTCACCCTACGCTATAAACAATATCACAAATGATTTTTTATTTTATTTTTTTATCCGGATTGTTTGATAAAGTGAATGTGAAAATGTATAAAACATAAAGATGTGGTTAATACTTAGTGGTAGGACTATTGCCATGTCTATATGCGAATAACATTTAATACGAAATGTTAACGCTTCTAGCATTTTATAGACATCATCACCTATTTGCAAAAAAGAACGGAAAATGAGTAACAGAGAGGAAAATAAATTTAATTCAACATTTTGTCGGTCACGAGTAGACTTCAGAGGGGTAAGATGAAAAAGTTAATGTCTTTCTCAATTCTGTGTTTCGATTTCATATTTGCTTTCTTTATACTTAATAATGCTTGATTCATATATTAGAAGGGAAGTATCTGACTTTTTTTTTTGGTGGCTGTGGAATGAACAAGAAAAATTGTGCAAAACCAAAGAAATTAATGGCTGCAATTTTTTGAAACAAACCATTAAGTAGTAAATGAAATTTCCGAAAGAAATAGCATTTACAATAACTCAGCCTGGAAAAGGTTACATACATTTAGAGATACATCCATTCAAAAGGCAAAACATACTTTAAGGAAACAGAAAATCTGTCAAAATATTTCTTTATTTTTAAACTTAAATCAATAGATGAAGTTTATTAGTTTTGCTCTAAAGTGGCTTTTGTTAAATTTCTTTTATCATTTTTCGAGACACAATAGCCATTAATTTATATCCACAGTTACACTCGACACAAAAGCAGCGTAAGTTTTTCTTCAGTTCATGAACTATGTTAAATTCTTTTTGTCTTTTTTGTGCTATGTATGTTCATTCAAGTATTTTAAATATGTTCCATTGTTTGCATTTGTATTGCATTACTCGAAATAAAACAAGATGAAATTTTAGCTCTTAGCTGTGCAAAAATGTAGCGCATTTTATCCTTCTTACAAATTAGTTTCCAGAATATTGTGTAAGCTTCCAACCCATTCTATTCAATTAAATTATGTAGATTTACTATGTTAAATGCAAATGTGATTTGATTTTACAAAAATATCTCAAATTTTATTCTATTTAAAATTACAATGAGCTACTCCTTCCTCTTTCATTTAATCTTATTCCCCAATTTTTTCATGAATTTCAAAAAACAATCAACATTCAATCGAGCGGACATAGGAAATGTAAAAGATAATAATTTCCAAAATATTTCTTAACATTCAAGAAGATTCACACTACATGAATCACAGCCATAAGTTACATTTCCTATACAAAATCAAAAAAATTTTTTGTTTTCGCTGAGCATTTTGTTTGCAAAAAAAAACAACAGCAAAAGACAACTTAAAAATGTGAGGTAATAAATAAAGTAGACAAATTCCATTTAACATAATCTGATCATTTTATGTGCTTTTTGGGTTTTATCGTTTTAGTTGTTGTTGTCAATATATTGTTAAATGTGTCTCCTACAACAAATGAAATTTCATTTGAAAATATAAATGAAGAAATGACAGAAGCAAGAGGCATGCTACTTCAGTATTTCTTGACAAAAAGATTATATGTTTTTCTTTTTATGAAAAGGCTTCTTTAAAATAACGTCATCAAAGCATTGATTTAATGTATTGAACATATTAGGCTTCTGCTCTAATATATTTTGATGCTGCTATTTGGTCGATCATAAATGCCGTCAAACATTTATGGTAATGTGTAACAACTATTAGCATGAATGTAACAAGGTGATTGAGTCTGAGAATATAAACGACCCTAATGTTAAAATTAATCTTTAATCCTTTGTATTCTTGCATCACAAAAAATTATTAATTGAAATTTTGAAATGCATCTTGAAAAAAAAATCAAGATTAATCTACATCTGCTGACCGAACACTGATTAAATTTTTTTGTAGGCAAAATTTTATTTACAAAAATTATTACAAATTTCAAGAGGCTTCCGATTGACATTAGAATAGAGAGAATTTAAAAATTTATTATTATGTAAACGCAAATAAAGGAATAGAATGTCATGATATTCAAAGGACATCTGCATATTCTTTTCTATTATATAACAAAAGATGTATTTCTAAGATTATTACTACTTTTGTATTCCTTTTTTTTTTGAACAAAAATAACATTTGTCTACGGCATCTTTTTTTTTGGATAGACTTTATGGAATAAAAGTGATTTTTAAGAGCGGCAAATTTTGTAAAGACTTTTTTTCACATAATAAAATTGACTTTGAATTTTTAATGCGCTTTTAAATAATTTTTTTTTTTCAGAAGGAATATTGTCCACATTCAATTTAATCAGAAATATGTTAGAACAACAACAACAGCAGCAAGAAAAAAGAAGCGAAGAAGATATGAATAAAAAACTTGTAAAAGTTTATGGACCAAAAAAGCAAGCAAGAAAATCAAGATGATATTAATAAAAAGAAATTTCGAACAGAATGTGTGAATGACAATAATAATAAATTAGAAACCACTTCAGTGATTTGATTATATGTTCAATAAAAAAAAAAACTCAATTTAATATTATTGAGGTGCCACAGCATCAGCATCAAAATACGGTAAAAGGTGTTAAATATTTAATTTGACAACAAGAATGAAGTTTAGCAGATAAGTTATGTTAAAGACCACACGCATACATAGAAATAAGAAACGAAAATATTTAGAATCTTACAGTCGGAACATGAAAATGTATTTGTCAACATTTCAAGAACTTTAGCTATTTCTAGACAACTGAGAACATTGAGAATAAAATGATGGAATTGATAATAGACTGTAAAATTATCGATATTTTGGACGGTATTTATTATAGCTTAGATTTCTTCTTGATCATTTGCATTCCTAATATTAGTTTCCCGCCTTAACTTCTGTAAAATGAAACCATACAGTGCGTCAACAGAAATTTATGTCCATAAAAATTGCTCGGTAACTCATGTTCATGATTTTCATCGCGGATGGTAGAAAAACAAGATATAGAAGTGACTTTTAGCGTTGAATGAATTGAGGAAAATGACAATTTACATGATCTGATCTTTGCCACTCTGACATGCGTTGCTGTAATTTATAGTGAATTAATCAATTGTTTTGTGACTTGATTAGGTATTTTCTATTTTTAAGCCTGATTTTTTTATATTATTTGCAGTCTCCTTTTGAACTTGCAAGCACACAATTTTGCATAAAAGTACTTAATTAAATCAGAATTTTATTTTATGATATAATTTAAGTTAATTCTAGAGCATTCACATTGTCATTGAATCACAGATTATCACATTCATATGACAAGTATATCGTATGAGATTATTATTTTTAGACTCGATGCTTTTTTTTATTCTCTGTATCCACATTTGTTCAATTGTTCATTACCAGGCAAATAAAATCAAATAAAAAAATTGGGGAGTTCTTCGTAGACATATCGAGGGTAAATATTTGAGACAAAACTCTGCTTTTTCCATATAGCAACATCAAAATAAATGCAGAAAAAAATTATCGGATCATTTTCGTGTTTACTCAGTGTTGACTTGACACAATGCAAAAAAAATAGACGGTTGTTTGCTAGGAGAATGTATATCGTGTGAATGGAGCTGTGTAAATTTTTTCCAATGTTGATAATTTTTTTTGTAACATCAGAAAACCGCTCAAAATGGATTAAACAAGTTCAGTTTGACAATTTCAGGACATCGCGTGTCAAGACGCACAATACGAATTCTTAACTGTTTATAAGATTTTCGTTGCTCGATTTATAAAAAACATGCCTATTTTAGTTTAATATATTAAATATCACAAAATCTACAACATTCAATTAAGCTAGAGTTCTAAAGTGGACAAATTGATTCATTAAACTTTTGTGTTATATTTTTAATATCCACTAACAAAGGCGTCAGAGTGAATATGCGATAATATAGATGCGACGTTGTTTTTTGATTCCTTACTAGGGTTTGATAATGTCTGTACATTACCAATGGTGAATTTGATACTTAAGTAAAAGTTTTTATCATTTACTTCAAAACGTAAGGTGCTCACTAATGATTTATTAAAAGAATGTAAAATAGATTCTTACTTAATAAATAATTCTTTAAAGCATTTTATGAAATTTCAACCCTTTAGTCTACACTTAAAAGTATCAGATGATCATTAAATTTTTATCACCTCCTTACCGACTTTTCCGTGACATTAAAATAGAAGCATCAAAAGATTCTTGTTTCACGTATAAAGCATATAAAGACAAATTTGCTCATTTAAACATTTTTGTTTTATGATGATTAAATTATATTATGGTGGTTTTATAAGAGCAAGGAGGGTTAAAGTGTAACATGGCACAAAAGTAAACATCGGTAACGATAATAATAATAACATGACACCCTCTCATAAATTGTTAACCCTTTAAAACAATTCCTCGCTTTATTTTCATTTAATATATTTTAGAGCACAGAGTCATATTGTAATCAAAATTTACAGTAAATGTATTTCTACCATTATTCACTTAGAACTTCTAGACAAATTTAAATTTTGAAGCATGAATTTCGGGACTTTTTTTTTACTTTTTGGCTGAAGCATTCCTGAGAAAATTGCAATTTACGCTTTCTGTAAGCAAGCAAGTTAATCAGCAAGAAATCTCAGAAACAAGACAAAGTAAAGACTATAAATTTTTTTTGAATTAGATCAGTGCTGCGTCAACGAAGAACTATCGGCATGTTTCACTAAAGTGGATTATCCTCGATTTCGGATTATCCAATTCAGTTTTTTTGTAAATATCTTAAACTTAATAGGAGGTTTTTCTTATATTGGATTATAATAGAGTGAACTATGCCTGAAATTTCTGTATACTTTAAACTTTTACTTTTTGTTAAGAAGTATTAATTATTCAATTTTCTAGCCAAATCTAGTAGATTAACTTCAATTTTTGCTTTAATTCTCAAACTAATGAAGATATATAAATTCTTAGTATATGTTAATTTAAGGAGCAAAGTACTCTTACTAGATCATACATTATATCTCTTAAAAACCTTAACCGTCTGGAGATATTTCCAAAAAAACTAAAGTAGATATTTCGAAATCAAGGATAATCCACTTTAGTGAAACAGGCCGTATATTATTTTTGGGCAAGGTAGGAATATCTGTTGCTTCAGAAAACGCAAAAAACCTTCCTTTCTTAAGATTTTTAAAAAACCAAAGGTTACTATGATTTTTATAAAATTATCTGACTGCATTTGACTTTTCTGCATTGGGCTTCTAGTTTTTTTCGTTACACTAGTTTTATATTGTAGTCTGTCTAATATTAAGTATATTTAGAACCAATGACAAAGGAAAATGGTCATTTCGGTCATTTCGTGATATTCGAACGATATAATTTCCAGTGCTATGATCTTTATTCACTCATTATAATTTCAATCTATAAATTTAAGTATGTGAGAACATCAACATTCAATAAATTCTACAGACACATTCATATTATCGTCTTAAAATGACTTCATGGCTATTGAATGCTATTAGTAGCTTAAAAGTTGTATGTGATTTTGTGACTATTTTAACGATTCTCAATATGAAAAGGAACGAATTCCAAGTATACTTAAAGAAATTATATACTCAAATTTAATTACTAGTATCAAAATATAATACAAGATTAGTGAAATGAAGTATATTCAGTATATCCACTTGACATTTTTATTATCAAATTATAAAAAGAATTAAATACGAAAACGATGAAAAGAAATTGAAAAGTGGAAGAGAAAAAAAGTATAAATTTTTATATCTCAAAGGTAAATTCATAAATATTATGATGAGCGTTAAATGAATATTTCACACTTTTATTGCATGTGTTCATTGCTTTAAATGAATTCCAACTTTAGTGCAAAAAATTTTAGTATGCGATTTTTATGCTTATAAATCTTTGAAATATATATAAATATATACAAGAAGAGTGAACCTTGCACGCTATTTAGAGTTACAGATTTGTATGTATGTGACTTTTTGCGAAGGAGAAAAACAACAAAGCAAAGACTCTTCCCTTTTAACAAATAGCGAAAATAAAAAAGACATTTGTAACTTTTTTTTTTGTAATTTCAATCGAATTCAATCATATTTTATTTAAACGTTGTCTTCTTTCTGTATTCCTAGCCCTTACTTGAACGAAAGCCAGGAAATACGCTGTACACATGGTAACTGTTTATATCACTAAATTAAAACGATTAAGATAAATAAATAAAATTAAACTAGAAAATAATCTAGACACCTATCGTCGATTATTCCAACTTAACGGGGTCATTTTTCCAAATTCTGAGGAACTTATACCAGAGTTAGCAAACTGATTAAAGGAATTCATCAAGCTATTGTTGAATGAATAAGAATCGTTTTGAATGGCAAGAAAATCATCAAGTGCATTAAATGATTTTGATGTAGCATGAAATGCAGCTTGATGATGGTGGTAAAATGATGAAAGCTGAGGTGATATTCCGACAGATATGCCAGAACTATTTCCAGAGGAACTATTTAAGCTAGAGTTATGCGATGTATTGGGTGATTGACTAATGCTACTACTAGTATTTGATAAGTTCAATTTGGTTCGATCATTGCTGATGGGTGAAGTAGGTTCAGGATTAGGTTTCAAATTATGATTAATTAAATTAGAATTATTATTATTACTACTATTACTACTTAAAAAGCTAGTGTTGATGGAAGATGAATATGATTCGAGATGCAATTTTACTAATTGCATTAAATCATTTTCATTTGTTAATGTGGAAAAGGATTGATTAGTTTTTGACAAAAGAGCATGCGTATCAATGAACAGGATATCAAGTAACTTACCAGTGGTAAATAAAACTATTGCTTTAAGACATGAATATTCTGCTGAATCGACATGTAATGCTTTAAGTTTTTCAACTTGTTCCTGAAATATTCTTATGTGATCCATAAATGCAACTACTCGGTCGGCAGCCATTGGTGATGCGTGTAGACCAGCAGCAGCCAAAAGTGGAGCTACATGAAGGGGCATTGAGCATTGTGATGCATTAAGAACGAATAGCTCTGACCATACTAATCGTAGTAAAGCTACTTGATCAGTGACTTGTAAATCGGGGAAAAATGGTATATTTCTAGCCCATTCAACAGCAGAAAAGAGCAAACGTGCTGCCAATTCACATATATTATCAATACCCATAATATTGTTTGTTTGCATACACGTTTGACCATATCGAGATGTCGGATAAGGTTCAGCTCGTAACAATAACGATATGTAAGAACTAAGGTAAGAATGCCCATTAAAGCCACACATTCCAGCGGCATCACCATTTGTCAAATATTGTCCATGCATTCCTGGGATTGGTGGTTGAGTTGGTGGTACGCGACCTCTTTGCACAGCTATTAGAACAAAAAAAAAATAAAATACATAATTAGAGAAAATTTTCAATTTAACAAATTGTGTTAACAAAATTAACGCAAGAATATCATTTGCGTAATTTAAAATGATAAAGGCTAATTCAAAAAAAAAAATGAAATAAAAACAAAACACCGACTTGGGGTAATTTTGTTTACCGCATTCGCATTCACGAGAATATTCGCTAAAAGAATTACAAAAATTGCATATTTTTCACTTTGTAATTGGTTCGGGTGAGGATAAAAAATTTGAATATATATAAAATAAAATGTTTATTATGTCTATAATGATCACATAATTTCCGTATTAAAAATATGAAAATCCATTTTTATAAGAAAAGCAATCAGAAAGCAATTTTTTTCTTTAGATTACTTATACTCATTACGTTTATGAGTAAAGAGTAAATTATTAACCTTTTGGTTACTAATTTGTTTTGTGTTTGCCGTAACATCTGACCCTCCTGATCCGTGGTTTCATTTCGCGGTACTTACAAGTTTTTTCAATCTAAAGTTCAACTTGACTGTATGATAATTTGCATAAGTATTAGTTGGATAGAAAAAAAAGCTTGAATAAATTTTTTAAAGTATCCCGTTAAAATTTAATGATTCAATTCAATTAACTTAATGATAATAAAGATCATCACCATATCTTCCATTTTTCCTGTACTTATAATCATATATGAAAAAAATTGATTTTAATTTTTCGTTACTAACTGCGCAGCCCATTTTAAAAAATCATTAGCTTATGGATAGGCCAAAGATTATTGTCGTCGAATCAAAATCATTAACATCGGTGCATTTAAATAAAATTAAAGTGTTATTAACCTATTAAACTCAATCTGAACAGCGACAAAACTACAGTCAATCAGAGAACATAAAAATTTCGATTCATTTCAAACATAAAGCTTTGCCAATCATAAATATACCATAAGTAATGATGAAATGAAGATCCGCAAAAATGAGCCATAACTAATTTATCATTATAATTTTCTCCCATTATATGTATATTCGAATCAATCACATTTTTCAAAGAGAAATAAATTTGTGCTCCGCTGAAATCAATTTTTTTATGATGATGACCACAAAATTGCTATTATTATCACACTTCAATCCACTTATTGGAAACACTTTGATTCTTATTTTCTTTTTGTTATAATCATCTTGTTTAAAGTCGTACGGAGGAATTTGCATAAGAATAAATTTTTTGATAATAAAAATTGCTTCAATTTTTTCTTTTTCTTTTGACGGACTGGATGTATCTTATTTATGAATGATGTAATCACTTGCTAAGCAATTAATCATGTATGTACAATTTTAATTAAAATAAGTCATTGTCCTCAACGAAATGCTTTTGCTTAACAATGACATTATGTTTTCATATTTTCTTTTATCTTAATCTTCTTTCTCTACATCAATCAGCAGCATTGCCACAAGCCATGCAAAAAAAAAATACAAATTACATTGAATTTTGGGTTTTTCTCGATTCCCGAATTTGTTTTTTTAATCGAGACGGTCTTTTTTTCTATCATCATATTTTTAGAATCTGTTCGTTTATTTGTCATGCAGTAAGTATAAATTCATCGTTATATTCATTTCCCTTTTTACTTTTGTGTACAAAGAAACTGATGGAAATAAAAATGCACGTTTTGGTTTAAGAAAAATATACGACAGAAATAAGAATGTACCATATAGGAAATTTCGTTGAAAAGCCGTTAACACGACGTGCAATTTTTTTTTCTTTCCTTCTTTGCACGAGCTTTGCGAATACTTTTTTTTGTTACTAAGAATTCTCAAAAAATTTCGTGTGATTTACTGTAAAAGATAAAAATGCAGAAAGTAGAATAAATAAAAAAATGAAAGAATGTAACACAAAATAGAAACGGCAAGAAGCCTCTTGATAGGAACCCTTACAAAATCTTTTAAGACAAGTCTTTCATTTGCACTTCTGATCCGATTTTTTGTTCATGATTCATTCTTCCTCTTAAAAACTGAGCATTTTCTGTCTTGCGCCGAATATATATACATACATCTGTCTTAATGGTTTTGTTAATTCTACATTGTTTTTGTGCACCTTAATTAATTGATACATTTCACAGTTAACCAATATATTCAAACACCGATTGTAAGGAATAAGATTTTCATAATCACACGGTAAATATGTTGTGACTTTATTTACTGATATTGAATAACTTTTTACTTACATTTTGGATGTTGAATCGCTGTTGAATCATTGGACATAAAAGTATTAGAAACGTGCGAGAAAAAAATAAAGTTTTAGTAAAAATTCTGATTTGGAAAATATTCGAAAATTTTTCTAAGCTTTTCTATTGCACAGTTCGTTATATTAATGTATTCAATATTTGTAGGAGCTCAAGAAGATCGGTGCTGCTTGAAACTTTTCTAGCCGATCTTGCGATTCTTTGTTCAGAAGTTTAAACGATAATTTTTCATTTTTAAAATAGTTATTACTAGAATTGAAGTTTACAAGCTACAGAGTATCTGATCCTAGCTTCTGATTCTTCTGCTGCACTGATAAAAAAAAATTAACAATGCATTGTTACTTTGTATGAAAATTTTAACAATGTCATGATTAAAATAGCGTTGACCATGAAATTGTTAATTTTAACAATGACTATTGTAAAAAAAATTGTCAACAATGAAATTGTAAAATTTAACAATCATATTGTTAAAAAAAAATTTCGAAGAAAAAAATGGTCACCCATCCAAAAAGAAGATAAAATTTTGTTGCTTAACTTCCAATGTCGTCTGTTTAATCGTAATCATATTTCTTAATTTTTTATCTGATTTGCAAGTGACAAAATAATTATTTAAATAAAAAGGTAAATTTTATAAATAGTGAAAATGAAAAAGATTTTAATTATACTTTTTGTCAAACATCAATAGAAAGTATTGAAAAATAAATTAATTAACGAAAATTATTTCAAATACAACATTTTTTAATAAAAAATCAATTTTTTATAAATTTTTATAGTTCTTAAGTACACAGGAATAAAACTCACTTTTCATACTGAATTTTTATTCAATTAAGATTATTCAAAACTTAAGTAAAGTTAAATTATTTAAAATTTAATATTAACGATGACCATTGTAAAATTAACAATCACCATCGTTACGTTACAATCTTATCGTTAATTGATTGTAAAAATAATTTTAACGATGAAATTGTTAACTTTTTTTTTCGTCATTTAAATTTAACAATGTCATTGTTAAATCTGGTTTACAACGAAATAACAATGAAAAATGTTAATTTTTTTTATGAGTGTGGAGAATACAAAAGCTATGTTCACAAAAAAATCATTACTTTAAGGAGCAAAAGGATCTACTTAAGAATAAAGGTAAGCCCATCTATAAAAGCATTAACACAAACATAAACGTGTGAATGTAAGTTTTATAGACATGAAGCCGTTCAAAAACTTAGTATAAAAGGTAACATTTAAACGCCACTTTTTGTTTAAAAAAACTTTTCAAAAACAAATTGTTTTTACATTAACATTATTTCCATAAAAATTTCATGAATACTTGCTTGTCTGATGCACGAATTCGTATATGCTTTCGATGCATACAGAGACACTCGTTTTTAGTGCAACTTTTGCAAAATGTTCGAGATGTGAAAAATTTCATTAGAAATTTGTGAAGCAACTCTTTTAGGAAGCATTCAGAAATTATGTCCATCAATCAAGGCAATACTATATCCTAAATGTTGGAGATCAATTCAAGTATCGGAAATATTTCTTGAAATCCATGAAAAATTATGAATTGATTTATGGACAAATTGATTTTCAAAAGAATGCATTAATATGTGATAAATTATTAAATTATTCAAGATTAAATAATAATAATAATAATCGGATTACATTAAAGCAAATGCAATATTATACATATATTAAAAATATGTATGCTTGTCGGTGAAAAAGAAACCAGCACATCGCTCAAGTTATTCGAAAAAGTTTACACTTAGATGCTAGAAGAAAATTCTTTGTAACTGAAAGGTTAATTTGTGATCAACGAAGAGCAACTCAAATGGTAATCATAAGTAACGCGTAAATGAAAACAAACGTCGAACATAATAGCATTCAATTTTAATTGAATTGAATTAAAAATGGGAAAAGAAATGTGTGTGAGGTCTCTTCGTACTAAAAAACAAGTAAAAGAAGATATTTTTGAATATCATGCCCATTTTTTAAATGAAATTAATGCTATTTTGTGAGTGATAGATAGTAATGAACATTCAAATATTACAAAAATCAAAAAACGAATGTGTTAAGGTAACAAGATGTGTTTATGATCATTTATCTTGTTTTCTTCTTTCAAAAAAATATATTCATGTCTTATTCAATGCTTTTCAACAGAAATAAACCATTACACACAACATTTTTTTTAAGAATGCAGAGGAATTGAAATTTTAATATTTACAAAGAATTAGTTTATAGTAATGTGTAGATATTTTTCACGATAAAACATTAAACAAACGTGTGAGTACGAAATTTGTGAAAAAAAAACATTAACGCAAAATCATCTATGTTGGTTTTTTCACTGATGAAGGTTTATGATTAAATGACCTTTAGCTGTACTATACGCGAATTTCAAAAAATGAAGCTGGTATATTTAAAAATTTGAGGGAATCAGTTTGTTCTTATAGTTCGACATAACTACATCTAGACTATCTGTAGTAGGTGTTTAGTTGATACTCCTTACATATAGTTTATGAGTTAAAATATATGACTGCTTATTCCGACAGACTGAAATTCAGTTCTTGCTTATGCTCTGTCGTGAATAAGAATGACTCAAAATGTGTCATAGGTATTATTAAAATTTAGTCAAAATTGAATAATTTAAAAAACATCTGCAGTTTAAAAGTCATTCAAAATTTCCTTCTTCTTCAGTTGATTGTGATCTTTATATTGACATTTTAATTTCTTTACCCAAGGTCATAGAGTATTGATTATTACAAAAAGTTATTTTTT